GAAATGTATTAATAAAAAATGTATTACTAAGAAATGTATTAGCCAAGCTGGTGTTTTACTAGAAAATATTTACCTACACTAGCAAAGCAGGGGGTTTTACTAGGAAATATTGACCTGTATTGGCTAAGTATGGCAGGTGTTTTGCTAGAAAATATTTACCTACACTAGCAAACCAAAAGGGTTTTTACTAGGAAATATTGACCTGTATTAGCTAAGTATGGCAGGTGTTTTGCTAGAAAATATTTACCTACACTAGCAAACCAAGGGAGTTTTTACTAGGAAATATTGACCTGTATTAGCTAAGTATGGCAGGTGTTTTGATAGAATATATTTACCTACACCATATTGTAGCAAAGAAACGGGGTTTTACTAAGAAATATCTTACTAAGAAATGTATTACTAAAAAATGTATTACTAAAAAATGTATTACTAAAAAATGTATTACTAAATATGTATTACTAAAAATGTATTAATAAAAACGTATTACTAAGAAATGTATTACTAAGAAATGTATTAATAAAAAATGTATTACTAAGAAATGTATTGGCTAAGAAGGTGTTTTACAAAAAAATATTTAAATGGCTATTTGCATATTACAATCTTTTAGGTTAGTAAAACATATAGACAATGAACTTCAATCTTAATCAAATTTGGGACTGAAAAAAAACAACAGTTTAAAAAAACAGAACATATATGTTATAAACTACACAGACAAATTTATCAATTTATGTTAAATTTCTCATTTGACCAAATAATACAAATTTGGTGTTTCTGGTGTTAATGGCTTAAATGTACATTTTTTTTTATTTTTTAATTGTCCAAATGAGCTGTATTAATAGGTTCTTGCTGGAATTATGTTTAATTACAGTGAAAGTTTTCATGGTAAATGTTCTTTCATACAAGTGTACAATGCTACCATTCAAAACAACGATTCAATTTGTTCCATACATGTTGGTGACAGAAATCAATAATTTAGACAGTGGAATGACAATTTTGGAATGATCATTTTGCATAGAAATAAATAATTTTTGGTTCTTTTTGCATAAATGTTATACAGTTTCATTATACAGTGAAGATTAATTCTTAAA